ATAGGTCTCTTAGCAATATCACCAAGAAGGTAGGTCTTGGATCCTCAAGACATCATTAGCACTAGTGCACTAGTGATACAGTAGCCTACATATGTCTTCGTCTACCCGTCCAGACGGGGGACAAAAGCTCATTGCAAGAGCACCAAAAGTGCCCATCAGTAGGCACCAATAGCTAGCTTTTTAACAGCACTGGGACGATGCGGATATGGTTACATGCAAATGACAACCGAATTATCAAGAAACCTATGGGCACAGATAACATTTCCGGGAACGTTGTTGTTCAGACCCATTCAAAGTGCTCACGCAAATGTGCCGGACACGTCATATGCGTCACGTCAACACAGCGGATCACTAAGGAGTGGGGTAAATGTAATGTACCTAAAGGAAAGCATGGCGAACAAGGAATGCATGGGCTTGTAGGCCCAGTTACACATCAATTGGGCCATTCCTGCGAGGATTACAGAGCCACCGTCCGATTCATTTACCGAATGTTCCAATCAATGCCGTCAACCGAGCAGTTGCGTCGGGTTGGCAAGAGGGAAGCACACGGAAACGAAACAGGAGGTGGCCCTAAAAAGGGCCAAGTTTGCGTTCTCACAGGCTGGCCTTTAAGCAGTTAGGCAAAGTCGTAATCATCGGCTGCAGTGGTTTAATGACAATGGCAAAGAACTTACTGTCTGGCAAGCAGATCATGAAAGTGCTTCTTAAAACAGGTGTCTTTCCATCAAAGGGTTCATTTGCAGTGGAATCCAGATCTACACTGAGGAGGATGCAGGTAACAATATATTATGACATACTCAAACGCAGGTTTGCAGATAGGCTGCAGCTCCGCCGAGGTGTTCGTCTCATTTGGTAAGCGTATAGGCATAGCGGGTGCGTTGTCCGTACTATGTGACACATATACATAGCTGCAACAGGGTACCGCGTCACAACCATCCGAAGTGTCTGAGCGGAGGTGAAAAGCTATATCAAAGCGCTTGCCTTCGTACGCCGGAGAAGTAGATGGGGTAAATGATGTCGTTATATTCGGAGATGGTGTACGGCGCATAGCTGAAACTAAATTACTTGATTCCAACTCACGTATGTTACTACTATGTGACGGCTTTTTGGGAAGTGGAACTGCTGCTATGTCACTGGAGCAAATTTTGCAACCGTCGGTTTTGTTCTCCACCAAGCATTTACGGTGGTACAGTTGCCCGTTGTGCACGCAATTAACGCCCGTACCTGCAACCGGTTAACCACAAGCGAAGCAAAATGTAGTCAACTTACCGGCTTTGTGCCACCGCGGTTGCTTACGCGATGGTTGGCAGTGTGGCTTATTACTTACGACGGGCGCACCTGGTGCTACGTCTATGAGCTCATCAGTTTGTTGAATGAGGCTATCGATAAACCCGGATACTGCACCGGGGGTTCACGTCTTCCAGGCACTTAATCCGAGCAAGCAGTTTTGCTACGTTGGAATTCGGCTGCCTTGAGGTGGCTACCTTCAAACTCCGAAGCAACATGGAATCCTCCGGCATGTTGTAATTCGCTAACCATCGACTACGGATAGGGATGCTTTCTAAAAAGGGAATGAAACATAATCGTTGTTTTACCCACCGGATGTTGATTCTCCTTATATAAAATCATTAAATGGACGCACGGTAGCCACATGTGCCCGTAAAATGCGCAAGTGCATGTGTCATTTGTGCAGTCGATGTCATATCTATGGTTGTGGGAGAGCTGGAACGTTAGCACATTTAGCCTACGGCCATCCCGAGCAACATTGACACGAGCACTGCAATCGGTGTCTCTGGAACTAAATTTGACGGTTAACAACATTATAAACCACATACTAGACTCGCCGTATTCCTTTGCTCCATGTTTTCCGGCGCTTACAGCGCACGCGTTTATAAACGATGCGATCATACCTCATGCTATGATACTTGCTTCTTTTGCTGCTACAGCAAACAAAATTGAAGTTGTTCCGATGCATAAATGAGGTAAAAAGCGAATAGAATTCATCAAAGCTATGAAACGAATGCCCAACAAAGGTGCTCCTGAAGTCAGCCTCCATGGTTGCAATCCGAAATAACAGCTAAATACGACCTTTTTCATTTGACCTCACTTAAAGTAGCAACTAACATCATGTGCAGACATATTAGCTGTTTTTTGGAAAATACCAGACATAGTCGTATTTTATGCCGTAAAATTGAGGCCACTTATTTTTACATTGCCCATATTTCTTGCAGTTCTATGGTTGCCACTACGTGACACCATTTGCAGCTCATCTGACTGGGAATACGGAAGTGTGTAATCGGTCGGCACGATTCCTTCCCAGTTATACATTACCGTTCAAACGGCTTGAGGGCAGTGTTCCAGGACCTGGGGAGTTTTCGCCTGGCAAGCGTTCACCCTATAAAATCCATCAACTCTGGGTGCGGAGGAAATGGCATGTCGGCCCATTTTCTGGACTAACCAGTTTTTGCAGCCCGACTAGCTCGCCTCGACGGCACACGGATGATGCACTCCAGTCCACACCCAAATAATAAGTAGCAAATAACAACGAAACTGGGACCCAAATAACACCACGCGCCTTCACTGTCCGCGTGTGCCTATTGCAGCTAACACATTAATTGCCCATGCTTAATTTGTTCCCCCACCCGCTATCTCTAGGAAAGGCTTCCCTCACTCAGCCTTCTAGAAGGAGACCGCTGTAGTGAACATGAATAATTTACGTTTTCGGTACTTTGCGACATTGGGTTTCCTTCTTATTTGTCTCTTCTGATCCTCCATTTGTGTTAATGACGGCATGTCTGGTTCACTTTTGAATGCGCGAGTTTTTATGCTACCCTGCTCTGTGCTCTAGCCACATCGCTTCTAGTTCATTGCAACTCTTGACAATACACATTGAGCCTTGCTAAGTACTCATTCTTGAATAATTGGTATCCGTAGTAGTTCCGAGTCGCAACTAGTACTTCAGCTATCTCTACAGACTATAAAGAAGTCGACGAACTGCACTTATCCCGCCTGTCCACTAGCAATGGCATTAGATTGAATCTAAAGAGCTGCCAGTTAATTTGTTAAGCGAAAAATGCATTTGCGAAACGCCGTTATGAGTGCACTAAACAAGTAAACCCATGCAAGTGACTCTCCAATAAATCAATTATCAATTATCACGTAGCGTAATTAACGTACTTGTCAAGCTGACAGGGCCATATTTATCCGGTTGGATCTTTGCTAAGCTCCTGAAAAATCATTTGACAACTCACTTCTAATCAGAATTCAAAAGGCGGCCTTAGAGAGACTTCTGAAATACACAAGTCAGGGGCCCACTCATTTGAGTTACCGATTCATGTAGCAGTTTGTGATGAACCTTTTATAGCTAGGAAAGCTTAGGTTGTACTGCTTCGCATCCAACCCGAGCAGTTGCGGCTCCACCAAACAATTTTCTCCATTCAAGTGTTCGTAGTCTACTGAGGCTAGTTTTGTGTACGGTTTTTTAGTTTTGTTTACAAAGGCGGTAGAGTAATGTTAGCCAAGCACAAACACTTTGTCACAGTTCCTATAATCCTGGCTTCCAAAAGCCCAAAGAAACTAACATTGGCCAGTTTGCATCATAGCATCTATTTAAGTAGGCGAAGAACTCCTTGGGCTTCGTATATGCAGAGTCATCTAAGCCATTCGTATACAGCAGTCTTGACAAAAAGAGATGTATATAGCGTTTGTTCCAAACAGCTCGATGGCTGTCAAGGGTGCCGGGTGATAGGGTTGCTGGATAAACCTGTACAATAGATTTAACAGTATTTAGACGCTTCATTGGTCAGCTCTATCCCCAGAATATATCTATGGAGGCTGCGATTTTGACTCCATTTCATCAGACGGCTTTGCACTGACTACCTTTGTCTATAGCGTTTATGTACACCTGAAGCTTATGTTTTCACTAAATTCGCGCTGTTGCATATACGCCTTATCATGCCGTACCTTCCTAGTCATTCCTCTCATTAGTGCATCTTCGTAATCTCGCAGCAGTTGATGCGCCAAACTTCTACTGTTGATCTTCGCGTGGGAAGCGTGTACAGACCCGTTTTCTCCTCCGCAGTACGAACCCTCTCTGCCCTAACTACTACAGTAGCATCACGGTCAACAAACAAACGCCCACGCCGCATAAAATGACGGTCGCCGCTGCGCTGGCCAAATGATTCTTCCAGGAGAATTGCAGAAGTTGCTAAGCATTATTTTCCTTGGAACTACGCAAGTTTTGATGAGAGTTGCTATGGACGTAAACGATAATTAAGGAAATCGATGGTGTCAATCACGCCCAGTTGTTTGAGTTTTGTTACTTCAGACCATCTGCCTGAACCTCATACAACATAGGACTCGTTTGGAAATCAGGGCGAAATGTTCTAAAAAACGAGTAGTTAACATCTTGAAAATACTTCTACTGACTAAGTGGAATGTGAGTCTAGAAAGCATTTCCAGATGTTGTAATTATACTAGAAAATGTAGTTTTTCTGATGCTGACATACAAAGACGTAAAGCTGGCCACTGTACTTGCTTCATACTTTTTCATAAGCGAGAAGTGGCTATCCAAGGTCAATGTGTTTGGGGTAAATATATGCTCTTTATGTGAGCTGTAAACTTGACGTTTTGAAGACTTGCTTATTTCAGTCGGCAGACAAAACAGTTGAAGCTCTATCGGCTGTTATTAGCACATCCTCGGCTCAGGTTACCGTTGTACTTGTGTATAGAAGCCCTGGGAGCCTATCCAAAGAGGTACTTGAATTCATTCGCTCCCAGTCCGCAAATAAGTGTTTGGTGATGGGCGACTTCAACCTCCCAGAGATTTGCTGGGCAGATCTTTCTTGTGATTCAGCGTCAGGCACATTCGGCGCTGATCTGCTTGAACTTACGCTCCAAGTATCTTTGCACCAGTTCATTGACCTCCCCACTAGGTACATGGACGCCCAAGTGCCGTCTATCTTAGACGTTGTATTCGCTAAGTCACTCGATTTTGTTGATGACATTACTTACGGACCTCCACTGGGTTCCAGTGATCATGTTTGTTTGCTCTGTCTAGACGCTACCAGAGTACTGTTGAGTCTCGCCCGAACATATGCCACGCAGACTATCAATCAATGAGAGCAAACGCTTCGGGTTTCCATTGTGATATCTCAGACGAAGATACTGTCCAGGTTGCCTGGGATAAATTTAAGTCCTACCTCACAGAGGTCTCTGCTCCATTCATCCCAATCACAAAGAGAAAGGAGGCCTGAGCACAGCCGCCCTGGATAGATCCCACTGGCAGGCATCTGCTCACAAAGAGGTCTAGATGTTGGCGAACTTACCGAGATGCTCCGTCCACCGATACGTATGACAGGTACCGTAAGGCTAGAAATAGGTGTAAGCAACACCTAAGGGATGCTCGGCTCAATTTTGAAAAAGGGTTAGCGGACGAAGCTTCAGAGAATCCAAAAAGGTTCTTCGCTTATGTCAAAAGGCGCTGCGCTTCGAACATGTCAATTCCGGTATTGATGCGTGATGACGGTACTCATGCGCAAACGGATTATGACAAGGCCTGCCTACTCAGTGGACAATATGCGGCAGCGTTTGTAAGGGAAACCTCTTTGACAGGCGTTGAGCTGGTTTGCAGGACTCCAGTGGGTTCAGAACTATCCGAATTTATTGTATCGGAGACTGCGGTTCGTAGGCTGTTACAAGGGCTGAACCCTTCTAAGGCCTCTGGGCCTGATTTAATTCACCCGAAACTGTTGCACGAGTTGGCTGTGGAACTAAATGGACTGCTTGCTAATGTGTTTCAGAAATCGCTTGCCAGTTGTGCATTGCCTACCGAATGGAAGGAAGCTGTCATCCGTCCCATCTTCAAACATGGGGACAGGGGTCTGCCTGCAAATTACAGGCCAGTTAGTCTAACGAGTGTAGTAGTCAAACTCCTCGAGAAACTGTTGAGAGATTTATTGGAAAGTCATCTGAGTAGATTTAATCTACTTAGTAATGCACAACACGGGTTTCGGGAGGGATTTTCGTGTCTGACGAATCTGTTGGTAGCT